CATCATTTCTGATGAAGGGTCTAGGCCCGAAACGTCAGCCTTCCTGCTCCTGTGATGCTGCTTGGCCTGCTGTGTTCATCCAGGTCTAGACCTTGTTATCTCTAATAACTGGAATGGTCAGGTTGTCTTATGAAGGCAAGATTGGACAGGCTGGGCTTGTATCACTGGAGATTAGAGGAGTACGAGGTGATGACTGAAATAAATAAAATCCCAAGGGGTATCTGCAGGACGACTGCGGAGAGGATATTCTGCTTCTGGGAGATTTGAGAATTAGTGGTCACAATTTAAAAATCAGGGTAACCCGTTTAAAACAGAGATAAGGAAACTTTTTTTCCCCTCGGAGGATCATTAGTCTCTGGAACTCTCTTGCTGAAAAAGGCAGTGGTCCATGAATATGTTTAAGGCAGAAGTGGACTGATTCTTGTTAAACAAAAGGGTGAAAGATTATCAGGGGTGGTCAGGAATGTGGATTTAAAGTTCCTGTCAGATCAGCCAGGATCTCATTGAATGGTGGCTTGAGGGGCCGAATGGCCTACTCCTGCTCCCTGTGTATTCAGGCATGAACAGCATGGGACTACCATAGGAACACTACACTGAAGACCTGAAGCTGCACTGAGAAGGCAAAGGTATCAAAGAGTTTGACACATGGATATGAAGAACACTGGTATCTATGATTGAGCAGCCATACAAATCAGCACGAGAAAAAAGTAACAATGTTGTAAAGACTGCATGACTTTACCCTCCATTTTTTCTTGCAAATGGTCATCAGGGAGATCAGAAGCAAACGCTGACAGTTTACTGAGACTCAGGAGAGTTTTCTTCTTGGCAAAATATCGTGTCTCCATGTTGGCAAGATTGAGTAATGTCCTGTAAGCCTGCAACAAAGGAAAATTAACTGGACTCAAACAAAAATGTGTGTCCTCATCACAGACTGGATAACAGGTCACAGGCAACTCCTTAAGCAAAATTAAAATCAGTATTTTTTAAGTTTTATTAAAAATTCATTCCAGGGATGTGGGCATTGCTGGCTAGGCCAGCATTTATTTACCCATTGGGCAATTGCCCAGAGGGCAGTTAAGAGTCAACCACATTGTTGTGGGTCTGGAGTCACACGTAAGCTCGCTAAGCATGATAATTTCCATCCCTAAAAGCCATCAGTGTGCCAGATGGGTTTTTCCCAACTGAAAATGGTTTCATGGTCATCATTAGACTCTTAATTACAGATTTTTATTAAATTCAAATTCCACCACCTGCCATGGCAGGATTTGAACTTAGGTCCCCAGAACATTGCCTGGATCCCTGGATTAATAGTCTAGCGATAATACCAGTAGATGACTGGCTCTCCTATTTTGTTCCCTGCCCAATTCCTCCTCAGTTTCCCTAAAGCCATGCAGCAGCCAAGAGGGCAAACAAATCCAGGGCTTGGCCACGAGAAACAGCTGCTTCATCAACATCTGGAAACAGCAAATCTGGTTTATGCTCTGGGTGGTAAAACATAGCTACTGTTACATTGGCAGCAGCTTCTGCATCAAAACCTTGACCAGAGAGAAGAACACTACCTGAAAGGCCACTGGTTAATATCCGGAACTCCCTTCAGCCAGCAGCATTGACTCAGGCTAATTAGGGGCAGCCAATAAATGCTGACCTTGCCAACTACACTCAAACCCCTAAGAGGAAACACCTGGGCCTTTGAGGTAGAGTTTCCCTGTTCAGGTCCATATTCTCAGCTTTTACAAAATTTTATTTTCTTTCCAAGATTTCATGCTGAAGCAGCCTAAGTTTCAAATGTCTAATCCAATACCTTTTCAAAATTCTGGACATTAATCTCATGAAGCCAGCTGAGATGTTCGTGGGACTGCAGGAAGCTGGCCAGGTTTGCATGTTGGGAGACTGGTGGTGACAGTAGCTTCCCTCTTTTGCCCTTTTCCATGTACCAGCGAAATAGGAAGTCAGAAAAGTTCTGTTTAGTGAAACAAAGATTTGCATCAGTCTTCCCCTTTGTATAACTGATCTCTTTCCCGTTGTTGGCAGAAGCCTGGAACTGGCTCATGTCAAACACACCTGTCCATGTATTCCATTTATATCAGAGAGCTCGCAGTGTGTAAATAGCTGCTGCTTTTTCCATCTTACAACAATAACTATTTCAAAAGTATTGTATCGATTGTAAAGTATGTGTTGATGTTCACAGGTCATGAAAGATGGCAGTTAAATGCAAGTTGGTTTAAATATTACCAGTTTTGATTTTAAATTCTGCAACTCAAAAGGAAAATGAACAGCAATATGGGTAGAAAGGCTGCACCTGAT